GGATAGAGCTTCATCAGAGCTAAGCAACAAAATAAATCTGAAGCTCCTACATTGAACAGTTTCTGAGTTATAAGCATCTTTGCATGTCCTGACACCCCGACTTTGAAAGGAGCCCCCTCCTCAAATATGGGGTGTATTGTAAAACCGTTGGCTGGCTCAGTGTAGGTCAGACTCATCTACAGTTGGTTGTTTAGCTCTGATGAGAGGCTATCCATCAGGTCAACCCCCCCCCCCCAGTTTTTTTTAAAAAGACCCCCACCCAAACCACTACAAAGTTAGGATGCACCTAGTAGCATGGCACTTACAGTATTAGGAATAAAGACTTATGAGTTCTGGTGCATTTGTGCATGCGGGGGTCATTATGTTACCGCTGTGTGGTATCTAGTTTACAAATAAATTAAAACTTATTATTGCACTTATTTTCAAATAAGTAAGTAAAAATCCAACATTTGGTTCTTAATAAATTTTATTAAACCCATGACGGGTTGTATCTTTGCACCCCTAATATGCATACGAAACCTTTATAACTACATTGTTTTTCCACTCCATGCTTAAGTACATGTTATGCACTTCACAAAGCATGGAAAAGGTCAACACACATATTTAAAGGGTATGAAGTTGTGAGTATCCAAGGAAAATTAGATGAAAGACTCACTCTACATTCTTACTGCACAGGATCAAGTTTCAGGACAGGAACACAAAGAGAGCTCTTCACATTACCTGAGTAAAATCTAAATTTGTGATTGTTTCCCAGTGGATGAGATGCAGCTCATCAGGCCCACAGACACGTGAAAAATTAACTAATCTGGAGTGGTTGCTGCTTAAAATCACATTTCTCTGTGAGGGAAGACTTATTTTCCTAATCTCAGTTGAAATTCTCAGTTACAAAGCCTGAAATGATCTTTTAGCATCTCTGAAAAAGAAAAGCCTTGAGTTATTTAAGCTCAAAGGCTTTGTGAGGCAACTCGTCTAGAAACACACGGACTTGACCTCAGCATTTTAAAGGGATCCATGATTAGTTGTAACATTAGACTTTATTTAATAAACATGTATTTTAACTGTAAAATAATGCGTGTAAAAATACTGTAAGCTGTTTTAGTTTTGTAAATTTTTAAGCTAAAAGTTTAAAAATATATCACACAGACCATTTTATTTACACGCAAAGCATTCTGGGTAAATAATGACGTGGATAGGTCCTCGGTGCGAGGCTGCTAGTGAGCTATATCCACCTGAAGGTTAATCTTGGACAAATCTGATGATCGACTCTTTTAAATGAAACCAGAGAGCGTTGACAGAGAGGAGAAGGTAGAAATGACTCAGCCTGGAAC